GCGGTGGAGCAGGCGTTCGGTTATGCCGAGATATTGGTTCTCTAGAGGCATGGACCTTTTCAGGTTTTTTCAGGTAGATGGTCTTATCTATTTTGTTTTTATAAAACAATGGTAGTGGGAGGGGGGAAGGAAAGTCCATATTTTTAAAAATGTTGTTTTTTTACTGATTTCAGAGAGAGGAAGGAATAGGGAGAGAAGGATAGAAACATCAATGATGTTAGAGAATTATTGATCAGCTGCCTCCTGCACACCTCTTACTGGGATCAAGCCCACAACCTGGACATGTGCCCTGCCTGGGAATCGAACCCGCAACCTCCTGGTTCATGGGTCGAGCCTCAACCACCGAGCCACAACAGCCGGGCTGAAAGTCCATATCTTAAAAAGCAGAGAGAATCATGTGTGCAATGGCAGGGATAAAATCTTGAAAAAACCTCCTGATAGGTAAGGCAGCCTCTCTTAGTTCTTATGCTTGAAGAAGTTGCCCTGTTTCATTGGAAGAGAACCACCATGAGAGGCTGAACACCTAGTCTTCTCAACTGGTTGTCCCCAAAGATTGATTTTCATGGATCAGTCAAGAAGGAAAATGAGAAAAGGCAGACCAGCAGTGTCTTTTTATTATTATTATAAAAAAAAATATTGCACCTATTTTATGAACAGAAGTTGGGATGCCTCTGACAGGAGCCATGTCTTGTTCATCTTTAAAGCATGCTCTCTAATGCCTGATCCTTCATAATGCTCAATGTATGTTTGTTGAATTGATTGAGCTAATATGGTCCTTGGCCTCTCAAAGTTCAGAGTCTAAATCAAATAATATTTTTGACTAATATTTGAAAGAAGCATTAAACATATCTAACAATGAAGTAAGTTTACTTGAAAGCCTTTCACCCTGGTTTGGAACAGAAGTGAACCAATCTTGGCTAAGTATTGGGTAATCATCACCAGTCTCACCATTAATAGGACACAAATGTCTTGGCTGAACCCTTTGAGGGTACAATTCCTAGGCAGCGGCCCTTGTATTAAGGCAGAGGACTTAACATTTTATTCTCTCCTCTCTTTTGTGCCTATCAGAACATGGGACTGAAAATACTGTCCAACGCCAAAGTCAAGAAGCCAGTTGACTGCAGTCACCATTCTCCAGAATATGGTAGAGTAATTGGTGGAAGTAAGCTACCTTTGTGACTTGTGCCATCACTGAGATGTTTGCAATTGTGGAGCTCTGAAAGCTCCCTCTTTGCCTCTGGTCCTTATCCTGATCCTCTAGCCTCAGAATAATGGTTGTGAGTCATAGATATAGGCAGTCTCCCAAGGATATCTCTGTCTGGGGAGGGCTTTTGAAACCTGAAGGCCTTATCTATTCATTCCCTGGCCAAATGTCCATGTCTGTCACTGGCCTTGTGACTGGTAGTCCCTTCAGATAAGTTTATCTCACAACAGAAGTCTTCTAACATTCCCCTATTCTTAGGCTCCTTAGAAAGTGATCGTAATACTCCACTGGCTTTTGGGTCCTCATCTTCATCAATTCCATCAGAGGATTCTCAGGTTCGCCAGTACTTCCCAGAGACGTGGCTCTGGGATCTGCTTCCTATTGGGTAAGTGATGCCTCAGTGGTACAGCAAGATAATACAGTGTGGACTCAACAGAAAACTCAAGATAAAATAATTTTTATGAATCTAACTCTAAAGCTAAGAAAAATTGAATGGGAATATGGGAATGGGAATGTATTTCTCTCCTGAATTCTTATACAATTATATACAATCACTCAAAAGAAATTCACATTTACACAGTATAGATAGTGCATTCTCACTTCAGATCCACAAAATCTGAAAGGGACATATTGGCATTAGTTTAGTTCTTGCTTATCTGCTCATTTTGACAAGTGATAAGAACATGTGCCTTCATAGACTCAGAGGGCAGTGGCCTCTCTTTCAGATACATTTGCACACACACGTGTCCACCCACACATACAACCTCCAACATACTCAGGCATCCCGCTTCTCCCATATTTGTACATCTTCATTCACTGCCGGGGTCCAACCCCAGCAGGTCCAGGGGTCCCCAAAGGTGTGGACGGAGTCGGCGAAGAAGGAATGACACGGAGACAGCGTTCAGTTGATCAGCAGCCTTGCCAGGATCTCTAGCTACAATCTCCAGCCAAGTTCTGTGTCCATGTTCTCTTGCTAGGTTCTCCAGCCAGGTTATCCAGGTTCTCCAGCCAGGTTCTGTAGCCATGTTCTCTC